TTTTTTTTTAATTTATTTATTTTGAGAGAGAGTGCATGCGTGCACAAGCAGGGGAGGGGCAGAGAGAGAGAGAGAGAGGGAGAGAGAGAACCCCAAGCAGGCTCTGCACTGTCAGCGCAGAGCCTGAAACGGGGCTCGATCCCACAAACCGTGAGATCATGACCTGAGCCGAAATCAAGGGTTGGACGCGTAACTGACTGAGCCAGCCGGGTGCCCCGAAATGGGTGTTTTTAACCCCGTTTTGGAGGCAAGGAGAATGACAGAAAGAATGTCAGGTTCCTGCCACCAGGGTGAGGCAGGGCCTCGGCTCCCACCATTGCAGGGAAGAACTTCAGGCTTCCTGGCAGACCAGGGAGGGAGGAGGCAGGGGGCCCACCTGAGGCACACAAGCCAGTAGGATCTGGAGGGGCAAAACCAGAAGCCGCCCGCCAGCCCGAGGCCCCCACCGGGCAGGCTCCGGGCTGCCGCTGACAAGCCATCTAAATGCCGAGCTTTAAAAATGTCAATTTATTACACTTTAGGGAGCGGGAAGAAATACAGGGCCATCTCGGGCTGATTTTCCATTATGGATGACCCGGCATAAGAATAACTCACCGCACGTTATTTCCATATGGGGGCTGTTTGAGTGACGTTTTTATGAAGTCGGGTGGCAAGTCATGCTGGGGCTGAGATCAGACCTTTCGGGGGAGTGACACAGCCCAACGCTGCTTGGAAAACGCCCTCCCTTCCCGGGAGGCACTCCAGGAGGAGCAGTCAGAGAGCAGAAGGGAGTTGGGCAGCCAGGACTCCCCTCAGGAAGGGTTATGGGGGTCCACTCTCCTATCCTCGTAGCCAGTGTAAGCACTGAGGATCCCAGGGGGCAGGGGACACCTCACACCTTTCGGCTCTGCATCACCATCCTTCTGCGTGGACGAGCCCTCTGGGGCGGTTCCCTGCCAGACCTCCAAGATGCAGGGCAGAGAGGGTTTGGGGGACAATCATCTCTCTCCAGACCTGTCTTGGGGCTGGGTCCCCAACATGCTCCCAATGAGACAACTGACTTGATTTTCGTACACGTTCATGTTTTCTTTTCTCCTCCAAATCTAGTTTTTCGTAAAACCAACACGACAGTACTAAAGGTATATGGAACAAAGCACCCAATGCCTTCCATGACTGGAAGCTTCTCTTCCTCCTGCACACGGTGTCATTCAATCGGGCACCCTTCCCCGGAATCTGCTCGAATTCAGAAAGGCGGGCGTCCAGGCAGGGTGGCATTTCCACCCTGGCCCCTTGACCTAGGAGTCTTCTCTACGCTATAGCTACAGGTGAGAACGTGCTTCCTGACCTTGTGCATGAACTAAGGGCTTCCTAGCTTTGTTCTGGTGAGGTCCTGACTCTCCAGGGATTGTGGGAGAGCCCCGAAGGTCCTTGAAGCCTGGTGCTCTCCCGGGCAAGAGGAAATGACAGATCAAAGCACTGCATGAATCTGGACAAGGGATGTCATGGACGTTGGTTATGACCAACTCTTACTCTGTGCCAGGCACTGCTCTGAGCACTTTTCACCAAAAGACGGGGCTGGCAGTGCGTT